ATCTCTGGCTGAGAATTCGGCACCTCGTGCAGGATCGATATGGCGGCGGCTCTTCGGTCACGGTGCTCTGGACCCCATCTCGCGCCGATCGCCTGACTTTGCATGGTTTCCGAACAAATCTTGCTCTCGGCAACCAGCAAGCCGACGAGCTCGCGGGAAGCGCGGCCCACAAGTCGGCCACCCTTGCCCTCCCGCCTGTCCCCAGGACCGATGAATATGACGCTATCGCAGCCACCGTCCGTCAGAGGGCACGACTGATCCTACGTTCCTTAGGCAAGAATTCAGAGCCTCGAGGACTGTGGCCAGAGAGGCAACCCACCCAGGAGGCAGCCCCTCGTTCTCTGTTGCAGACCGCGATCGCGGCTTCTCAGCACAAATTCGAGCGGTGTGCAGACAAATGGAGATGCCCTGCCTGCCTCATCATCGTTGACGCTTGCCACGTTATTCCAGCTGCCGCCACAGAGTGTGTGCCGCCTTGCCCCCTTCCCGAGTTTGCTGCGTGTGGCGAGGTGCTGTGGTCGAGGGGTCCCCGCGTGATCAGTGGCAAGGCGATTCACCCCTCCCACACGTTGGCCACCATCCCCAAGTGGCAAATGTTCTTCTGTGTGAAGTGCGGCCATACGGCCACGCACCAGGTTAAAAGCCTACTTTTGCCTTGCCCTCTCTCCCACCAAGTGGGAGAGCGCAGGGCCCTGGGACCCACTGGCAAAGGCCTCGAGAACCTCAGCAGGATCAGGCGAGGCCTCCACCCGTCCAGATCGGGTCCCAGCAAGTCAGTGCTAGAGGCTTTGCACGTTTCGGCAGCCGAAGCCGCGATCGGTTCCTACGCGGCGGGTGCTGCCTCCGAGTAAATTGTGAGGCCAGGGGGGGCCTGTCGCGGTGGGCCGTGGGATGTCGCCCCCCACGGCCCTCCGAGAAATATTGGATGGCCCCCCCTGGCATCTCTGGGTTCCGAACGGACTACGTCCGATTGCTCCACTCCACTCCTCCTCCTCCTCCTCCTCCTCCTCCTCCTCCTCCTCCTCCTCCTCCTCCCTCCTCCTCCTCCCTCCTCCTCCTCCTCCTCCTCCTCCTCCTCCTCCTCTCCCTCCTCCTCCTCCTCCTCCTCCTCCTCCTCCTCCCTCCTCCTCCTCCTCCTCCTCCTCCTCCTCCTCCGTCCTCCCTCCTCCTCCTCCTCCTCCTCCCTCCTCCTCCTCTCCTCCCTCCTCCTCCTCCTCCCTCCTCCTCCTCCTCCTCCTCCTCCTCCTCCTCCTCCCCCCCTCCCCCTGGCGGGGCTGGACGCGCCTCGCGCGGCGGGGAGGGGGGGGGGGCTCACTCGTCGACCCAGGAAGTCCGCGCTGGCCTCTGGAGGGCAGCTGCTGGTCCTTTGAGGGGCCCCAGGATCGGCAGGGGAAAACCACCCAGAGACACAAATCATCGCCGATTCCAAGGAGAACGCAGGATAAAAAAAGATTGGAAGTCGGGGGGAAGACGAAAGCCCAGGGAATCTCGGAACACATGGGGCAATCCTGGGAACTGTGCGCATCTATGGCGAAGGCCTTACGGCCGATGCCGCCGACCTTGTGTGTATCTATGTGTGTGTCCCTGGGCCCCTTTACACAAACTTGTAGCGACAAATCGTGCGGTGACCTCGGGATCCGAAGAGTTCTTCACCGCACCCGCACCGTCCGTCACCGCGCGGCACTGGGGCCTCGCAGGCCCCAGCCGCCCGAGACGTCCTCGAGGAACGGCCCGAGTTCCAAAGCCGCGCGGTCACCCCGAGTCCCCACTGCCCGCTGCCCGCTCCAACTTCGTCCCTGGGCGCGCCGCCCGTTGTCGGTGGCGCGTCCCGGGGGGAGGAGTGAGGGGGGGGGCGGGCCTTCTCGGGAGGCTCCGAAGGCCTCTGGCCTTCCTGGAGGCTCCTGGAAGCGTCCGGAGCCCTCCCCGAAGGCAGAGAACACTCCGCGGAAGGCCCGAGGGCTTCTGAGAGGCCCCGCCGCCTTCCGAGAGCGCCTCCTCCTCCTCACTTACCCCCTGGGCGCGCCGTCGAAGTCAGCTTTCTCGGCTCCCGAGAGGCCCTGCCGCCTCCTGAGAAGGCCTCCTCCTCCTCACCTGCCCCCCCCCTGGGGCGCGCCGTCGGATGCAGCTCTTTCGGTTGCCGGCTCGGGTCTCGGGCGGCCGTTCGGGGACGATCCCGGCCTCCCCGCAGCGCTCCGGGCGAGGCGCGGCCGCCGGAGCACAGCCCGAGGCCCGAGAGCCGGCCAGAAGCTGCGAGGCCGCCCGAACAGAAACTGCGAGCCTCTCGAAAACTTCGATCTTCCCCCCCCCCCCATCGCTCGCCGCCGCTCGATTGGTGGACCTCGTTCAGCGCGTGTGCTCTCAGGCGATCGCAAACATGGATCAAGGGGGCGTGGATTAGCGACGGGCCCCGTCTCCATGGGAAGTCGCGGCTTCCCCCGCCGAGCGAGGCGGCGCCGCCCGCCTTTTGGGGAGGGCACCTCCCCCGATCCGTGGATTTGGCGACCGCGCGCCAAATCCATGGATCGCTAATCCATGTTTGCGCGCCCCCGACACTGATCGCCGATAGGGGCCCGATAGCTCCAACCTGCCCAGGAAGGTGCGGATTCGCGATCGCAGGCCTATCGCGGATCTGTCGGCGATGTATCGCCGATTCCAGGTCGACGCATCCCCCCGATGCCAGTCCCCCCCCCCATCGTTGCCCCTCACCCTTGCCCGTTCCTTCCACCACCGATGCCAGCTTGTGACTGACAAAGGACGGCCTCCCCGCCGACCCCGCTCCGATGGCTTGTGGATTGACCCCGCGGCGGGGCTCTGAAGTTCGCTTCCTACAGTCGGGGCCCTGAAGAAGGAACCCTTTTCGTTGGCCAGGGGCTCGGTGTTCCTTGATTGTGCTGCAGTTTTCCTTTTGTTGTCCTTAGGTTTTTCGATCGGAAGTCGAAGTTTAACTTTTGGAAAAAAAGGGGCCTCGTTCCTTATTTAGGGCTCCTTAGGTCAACGCCCCGACTGTATCACGCGCGCCGAGCGAATCGCGACTTGCGGGCTCCGACGAGTGGAGTGTGTGCGGCAGGCTCGTGTCGCGTCGGCCGGCGGCGGCCCCCCGCGCGTGCGCCTCAAGGTGAACGCCGCCTGTGGTCCAGAGTCGGCCCATCCTGGAACGATCCGGCCGTTTTGAGAGGGCCGATTGTTCAGGTTTGATCGATCCCCGCGGTAGAGTCGGCCCATCCTGGAACGATCCGGCCGTTTTGAGAGGGCCGATTGTGCAAGTGTGATCGATCCCCGCGGTGTCAGGAACCAACGCTGGGGTGGACACGACATCCGGCCTTTCTGAGAGGGCCGATTGTTCAAGTTTGATCGATCCCCGCGGTGTCAGGAACCAACGCCGGGGTGGACACGACGCGAACCTGCCGTACTGTCATCACGGCAGCTGCAGACCGGTGGAGCTTCCAAGTGCACACTGCAGTCGGGAGCGCGTGCGCCCTCACATCGGGGGCATGCTGTGGCGCTCGCAGGCGGGATCTTCTGGTGCTCGCAGCCGCCGCCGCCGTCGGCACACTTGGTCGAGGAGGATTGGGAAGAGGAGGAGGGTCAGGGGTAACGATAGGGGGGGTAGGCACAGGTCAGGAGGGGAAGAAACACACGGACACAACGAGTCGTCGACTCCCCAGAAATATGGGAAAATATGGGGAGTCTTTCTATTTGTGTGTACTTCTTTGTGTGTCCTGGGGCCCCTTCAGAATAGGCATAGGGGGGGATGCATCGACCCTCAATCGCCCATGGATCGCCGAGGGGGGCCCGATGGCCCCAACCCGCCGAGGCAGGTGTTTGTGCTATCGGGGGCCTCTCGCCGATCTGTCGGCGACGTATCGCCGATTCCAGGTCGACGCATCCCCCCCTCATGCCAGCCCCCCCCCCTCGTTGCTACAGTCAAAAACCCTAATCAGGACGCGCGACCCACAGACGCGGCTGCAATACCGCGCCATTGCACCGGCCCCGCCGCAGCTCGCCCGAGATCGGACACGTTTGTCGATTGCACAGCCGGCGTGTTCTGTTAACCGCGAGCTGAGCTGGCATTCGCTATCCTCGTGGGTTACCCTCGTCTACCTTTGAGCGATCGTGCCTCGTCCAGGCTCCCGCCTATGCTGCTCATCTCTCGTCTCCCGCCACGTTTTCTGTTTTTTTGGTTGTTCTCTCTCTCTCTCTCTCGCTCTCTGTCTCTCTTTCTCGCTTTCGCCTGCATGCCCTGCCCTCTCTGCCCCCCCCCGTGCTTGCGGGGCCACCAGAAGCCGCCGCCCATCTCCGCGCTAGGGCACCCCCTCCCGCCCGCTCCCCCTCCCCCTCCCCCTCCCCTCCGCCTCTTCACTTTCTCCTCGCGCCCCTTCCCCCCCCCGCCCGAGCCCCCCCCTCTCCGCCCGCCGACGGCCCCCCTCGCCACCCCTCCTCCCGGATGCCCCGCGGCCTCTGAGATCCGGCGTTGCGGAGAACGTGCAACATCGTGAAACATCGCCGCCAGAGGTGATTGTTGTTTTGTTCATTGTGTTGCCGATCGGCGCGAGCCGCCGCACCCCCTCCCCCCCAGGGAGTAGCTCGTGGCTGCTCGTGGCGCCTGTCTCAAGCGGGTGGAGTCCCCCCATGGGACGCACCGCGGCAAACAGCCGCATTAAGCAGAGGTCCGCGGCAAGACCCCCCCTTCCCGCCCGATGTCGAAACGCCGAATACAACAACGTTCTCGAGCGCGGGGGCCCTCGCCGGGCCTCGGGGCCGTCAAAGAACGATTCGGGATAAAAACAACAGCCTTCTGTTGAAGTGGTGCAGACCTTCCCAGGGCCCACCCACATCAGACATTGAAGCAGCCAGATGTCTGGGGACCCCATCCGTGTGCGGTGCTTTTCGAACCAGGTCCATTTGTGAGGGCCCTGGGGCCCGAGAGCGAGCGACAACGCTCGAGGCGAAAAGGCGCGGCAAGACGCCCGCATCTCGGGGTCTTCCTCCCCCACGGCGAGGAGCTGCGCGAGCTCGAGTCCAGCCGCGAGGGGGGCGACAGCGAGGCCGACGCGCTGCGGGGGCAGCTGGAGTGCCAGGTGGTCGTTGTTTTACTCCTTGTTTTGCCGATCGGCGCGGGCCCTCGCACCCCCCCCATGGAGTAGATCTTTGCTGTTTTGGGTGCCTGTGTCGAGCAGGGGGAGTCTCCCCCAGAAAACGCACGGTTGCAAACAGCCGCACTAAGCAGAGGTCTTGAGCCAGAACCCCCCCTCCGCCCCTTCCGCCCAATGTCGAATCGCCGAACTAGAAAACACTCGCCAGGGGGAGCGGCTCGCGCGGCTGGAGGCCGAGCGGGACCAGCTGGACGGGGCCGCTCCGCGCCGGGGCGGGGCGCCTTCTCGCGCCCCCGCCCGTCGCCCCCCAGGTCGGAGCGAGTCGGGTCCCCTCCTCCTGCTCCTCCTCCTCCTCCTCCTCCTCCTCCTCCTCCTTCTCCCCTTCCTGGGTAAGCAGGTACATGTCGCGGGGGGGGCTGATCCATTAAACCCATCATGCTAAGTTCCACGCTGGACTGGGTATTTGGTTCTGTGGCACGTGTGAGGTGTACGCCTTCCAACAGATCGGGAAGCTGGCCGACACATGTGACACCCCGACCGCCACGGGGCGGGAGTATTTACGTCGAATCGAGCAGGGACTCCTGGCCCAAAGTGCTCAGCAAGGCTGGGACTCTGCAGAGGAGTGGGAAGCAACAAACACCACAGTAGGCGCAAGCGGATTTTAATCATATCGCTACGCGATTAAGCAGAATGCTCAGAATGCTCCTCCTCCTCCTCCTCCTCCTCCTCCTCCTCCTCCTCCTCCTCCTCCTCCTCCTATTCCTACTCCTCCTTTTTCTCCGTAGCCATTTTGGCTCAATATGCTCTGTTCCACAGGGAAAAAGTGGATACCGCTAGTCCGCGGCCAGTGCCAGGGCGTTTCTGCCCGACAGATTTGTTCACTCTCCTGGCCCTGTGGCTGGCCTCGTTGCTCTCCCGAGCAGGCGAGGGACCATGGCGCCTGGGGGCCGCGGCGGTGGCGGTGAGACCAAGCCCGACTGGTACTGCCGTTTCTGCAAGTACCAGCGTGGGCCCAAGATCGGGATGCCGTGCATCACGTTCGGCTCCAAGCAGCTCTGTCACTTCTGCGGTGGCGCCAAGGACTGCCATGTCCGTGGGGAGGAGGGTCTGCGCCGCGGCCACAGTGGCACCACGGGTGCTGGTGGTGGCGCAGGCGCCGGCGCCGCTGGGCAGCACCTCGCAACGCAGAGGGAGCTCACCAGGTTGCGAGAGGAGTTCAAGACCCTGCGGGCGGTGGGCAAGAAGGGCCCCGTGGCGGAGGCGCCCAGCGGTGCTGACGCTGAGGAGGGCGCTGAGGGAGGAGACGAGCAGCGCAAAATCGAACATCTTGATTGCCAGCTACGGGTGCTGCGTGGCCTCTCCGACCCAGGGGAAGAAATTCTCGACACGATCGAGCGGCTGGCGGCCCTGCGGCAGGTCTTGGTGGAGCAGGTGCGCGCCAAGAAGCCCGTTGTCGCGCAGCTGCTCACTCTCCAGAAGAAGCTCAAGTCCAAGCAGGGCGCCATCAGCAGGCAGGGCGCGGCGGTGGCCAAGGCGCAGGAGGCAGTCACCGCGGCGCAGGCTGCGCTGGAGGCCGAGCGTGAGAAGGGCACGGAGCTGCGTGCTGATGCTGCTGAGCTGGAGGAGCAGGCGCGGGCGCTCAGCGCCCAGGTGCCCAAGCCTCCCGATGCGAAGGAGTCCGTGGGGGCCCCAGGTGGTGCGCCGAACCTCGATGGCTTGGCCGACCTGCTCAAGGAGCTGGGAGCGTCGGGCGAGGTCACTGAGAAGTTCTTGGCCCCCCCCAAGATCGCGGCGTCTTTCGGCCCTAGGGCTGCGACGCGCGCGCGGCCTGCTGGTGATAGGGGTCCTGGCGGCGTGGCGGCGACGCCGCCTGACGCCAAGAGACGGCGCACGGCGGCGGACAAGGCGCCCCTCGAGCAGCTGCGGGACAGCATCGCGGCCGCTGGAGTCCAGGTCCCCACCGAGGAAGCGGAGATCAGGGCCAAGGCGCACCAGATCGCCGCAGCTGCCAGTGCTTGGGCCTACCGCGCCTACTAGGCGTCAGGGGCCCAGGCTTTGGTTGTTCTGGAGTACCGTGCTCAGTGTGATAGTGGGAGTTTCTGGTGATACTAAGTACGGTGGCAGTGCGGACACTGTCAAAGGGGTGCTGACCACGGTCAATGTTTCATGTGCGAGAGGGCTCACTGAGTACCTCGCGGAGGACCCGAAGGGTGACATCTTCGGCGTGCAGGAGCGCCGCGTCTTGGGGGACAAGCTGTGCCCCCTGCAGGGCCAGGTGATGGACCTGGGTTTCCATGGTCTGTGGGCCCCAGGCGCGGCCGCAGGTGGTGGCCCGCTGGACGTCTCGAGCGGCGTCGCGCTCCTCACGCGCGACGTCATCCCTGTGACGGCGCCGCCCTTCGCGCCCTCCCACGTCCTGGAGGAGGCGCGTGTGTTGGCGGGCCACGTGCACTGGGGCGCGAAGGGTGGCATCATCGTCGTGGAGGTCTACTTGAGGCACTCAGTAGGCATGGGCGATGACAACTCGGACACGGCCCACGAGCTGCAGCGCTACCTCAGGGCGCTCAACGCGCGCGGGCTGGACAGGGTCGTCATGGGCGACTGGAACATGGAGCTAGACGAGCTGAAGGGGCCATGGCTCGAGCAGGTGCGGGGCGCCCCGATCGTCCCGTCTGGGCCGACCTGCTGGCAGACGGTGGAGGGCCCCTGCCTGGACTACCCCATCGTGGCGCCGAACCTGGACCCGAGGCTAGGCGAGGCTTGGGTCGCGATGGATGCGGCACTGCACCCGCGCGCCCCCGCGCACGTGAACCTGGCCACGGTCGACCGCGAGGCCATTGTCAGGGTCGCCGTCGAGCCGCGGGGGTTCACCGCGGTGCCGCCAGTGGGCGCAGCGCCTTTCCCTCATGACCGAGGGTTGCGGGCGGCACTGCAGCAGGTCCTCGCGGCGGAGGAGCCTGGCCTCCCGGCGCAGGCGCGGGGCGCTGTCGTCGGCATGGCGGAGGCCGCGCTCTGCAGCCGCTGGTACCTCGCGGGGGCTGAGAGGCGGCAGCGCACTGGCAGGGCGGGCGAGCCCGTCTTCAAGCTGGCCCAGCCGACGCGGCAGCCGCCGCGACGGAGGAAACTATACGACCCGAAGGTCAGCGCCCACATGGTGGCGGGACGGTGGGCTCGGCATCTGGATGCTGCACGCACGCGATTGGTCAAGTTGCTCGGGTGCGACCTGGACGACCGCGTCGAGCGGGCTGTGGACCTCATCCTCGAGACCCACCGCTACTTCGGCAACGTGGCGAAGTCGCAGCGCGTGCTTGGCCAGCTCTCGGAGGGCGTCGTGCAGTGGCTCTTGGGCGGCGTGGCCCAGATGAGCAAGAGGATGCGGGCCGCCCAAGTCGAGAAGATCGTGGCGGAGGCCGAGAGCCTCACCAGGCGCTACAATGGTGAGCGGGAGAAGGAGTGGCGCGCGTGGGCGGCCGAGAGCCTCATAGGCGGGGCGAGCGTCGCACACCGCTTCACGAGGCTACCTCCTGAAGCTGGGGTCCGTGGGGCCACCACGCGGGCCAGCCCGCGCCAGCTGGCTGACCGCGAGCTCGACGGATGGAGGGACGCGTGGACCGTCCATGAGCAGGGCGCCCTGGGGAAGCCTCCTGACTTTGACGACTGGGCCAAGCTCCCGCGGATGAGCGCCGGTCACCTCCGACGTCCGGCGCTGCGTTTCAAGGGGCGCACCGCGGTGGGCCCTCTGGCACCTCAGCGACATCGGCTTCTAATTGCTGTCGGCGCTCTTCAGCCAGTGCGAGAAGTTGGGGGTGTGGCCGACCGACAGGCCGTACACAGTGCTGGTGCGCCTGCCCAAGGCGAGCGGAGGGTGCAGGCTGATTGCCCCTGTGAACTCTTTCCTCCGTCTGTGGGCGAAGGCGCGCTCGACGATTTCGCGCGCCTGGCTCGACCAGGCGGACGTGCCAAATCTCTGGGGCACTGGTGGAGCTGGCAGGACCTCGACGGCAGCAGCTTTCCACCACAACCTGACGGCTGATATCATGAACATCAACGGAGGGCACAGCGCCACTGTGCTCCTAGATGCGTGGACGGCGTTCGACAGCTTGATTGGAGGCAGGCTGCTGGACGAGGCTCGGGCAATGGGGTTTCCACTTCGCCTCATGTGGGCCATCCTCAGGCATCACCACCTGCCGAGGCGCATCCAGGCGTTCGGCTCGATGTCGAAGAGCTCCGCAGCGCACCAGGGCATCCTGGCGGGCTGCTCCCACTCGATGGCGGTGCTGGTGGTGGCGACGGCGCGGGCATTGCGGCGGCTGGCGACGTATGACGTGATCCCGCGCACGCTCGCCGACGATACCTCAGTCCAGTGGATCGGCACGGATCTGAGAGGCGTGCGCGTCTTGTGGCAGGCCGTCAAGCGCTTCAAGCATGAGGTCGGGGACGTGGGCCTCTTGCTGCAGGAGCTCAAGTCGGGCTACGCGGCGACGTCCAGGCAGAGCCGCGATGCAGCGGCGCAGTTTGGCAGGCGGCTCGGGATGGGCTCGCAGCCGCACATGGGGAACCTTGGCCACGACCTGAATGGGGCCAAGGCCTGCAGGAAGGTCGTCAAGGTCAGACTCAAGAACGTGAGGCCGCGGCTGAGGCGTGCGGCGAGGCTACGACGTGCTGCTGGAGGGCGCGCGGCGTGCCTGTGGCAGACGGGCCTGCTGCCCGCTGCAGCCCATGGGGCGGCGGTGAGCGGAGTGCCCCCCTCCGAGCTGGCCGCGCTGCGCTCGGAGGCGGCCCGGCTTGCCGGGGCCAAGGGCCGAGGTGGCAGCAACGCGCTCTACCTGGCCAGCGAGCGGAACCCGTGGTATGACCCAGTCTTCGCGGCGACCGTCGAGCCGCTCATGCACTGCGCTGCGGTCGCGTGGCAGCAGGCGGTGTCCATGAGCGCGCTGGAGAAGGCCTGGCGCGTGACGCTGGACAGGGTCGAGGCGGGCGAGGACAAGCTGACGTGGGCGTCGGCGCGCGGGCCGCTCAAGGTGGTCGTCCTGTCGCTCAAGCGGATCGTCTGGGTGTCGCTGTCGTCGGTGCTGATCCAGCCTGACGTGGGGCCAGTGATTTCGCTCTTAGCCACGTCGCCTCGCTTTTTTCGCGATCTCCTGAGGCAGGGGATTCAGCGTTGGCAAATGCGCCAGGTTGCCTCTCACCATGATGCAGCCGCGCCTTTTTGGCCGCGAGGCCTGCGAGCTTGTGTGGGGGCGTCGGTGACTGGGGCGGGGAGGGTCGGAGCTCTGCGCAGCCTGTGGTCTGGCCCCCTTTCTGGCCAAAAGCTAAGTTGTATAGCAAAGGAATGTGTGATGATCAGAAGTGTCGAGCGTGCCCGCACGAGGCTGAGACGATTGGCCATTGTTTCGTTGAATGCCCAGCGTTGACGCAGCGCTTGTTGGACGATGAGGAAGATTGTGGTCTCGATCCCACGTTGGCCTCAGCTCGCGACACCATGTTGGAGCATGGGCCGATTGGAGAGGGCCGCCAGGATGTAGATTCGTTTGCCTTCTCGGTCGGGACCCCCAGGTGGCCCAAATTTGAAGTGCCGCCGCCTCCTGAGTCGCCTCCTTGTTTCTTTTGGTGAGATTGGGAGTCGGATCCCGAACAGTGGAGCGATTGCGTGTTTACTGATGGCTCGGGATACCACAACGAGTATCCTGAGCTCCGTCGGTGTGGATGGTCCGCTGTTATGCTGAATGCCAATGGAGCCCCCGCTCGCGCGCTGTATGGCGGGCTCGCAAGCGCGCAGCAGACAGTGGGCCGTGCTGAGCGGGCTGCGGGCCTCAAGGCCCTTCAGCACATGCCTTCGGTCCAGTGCGTGATTTCTGACTTGCTGGAAATTGTGCAGGAAGGCAAGCTGTGGGGCCAAGGAGAGACGGAGGCCCTCACAGATGCGAGCCGTGCATGCCCTGCAGTGCGGCGTCAGTTGGTGGCGCTGAAAAGAACGCCGCCCGCTTTTGCATGGGCCCCGTCCCACAGGACTGAGGATGAGGTTCTCTTCCCCGCTCCTGAGGACCCTCCGCCCCCCCCCTACCTCTGGGTCGTGGGAAGTGTATGGGCCGACTTTTTTGCAAAGCTAGGAGCCCTCTCGGTCAAGCTCCCAGAGGCCCATGCTAGGTTCTATAAGGACTCGCTGACTGAGGCTGCCCAGTACGCCAAATATTTGTCTTGGGCGGTCCAAAGAAGCTGTCAGCTTGACCTGTGGTCTGAGAAGGCTGTCCTGACGGCAGCCCCGAACAGGGCCCCCAAGGCCAGTGGAGCCAGAATGGTGCTGCTAATACACGAGCATGACCTCATCGACATTCGAGGGAGGCTCATGCGTCGACGATGCCGTCGCACAGCGAGGACCGCCGAAGCTCGCAGACAGTTGACGGGAGGCATGGATCGACGTTGTGTGCCTTCTATGATTTCCCGAATGCAGGCAAATCTGATAGAGGCTGCCGCCAGTGCCGCCACGAGGCCGCCGACGGCCCGCTGGGGGTCTGTGGGGGGGCTGCCTGGTGGCCCTGGGGGTGCCCCTGGGGATGGGGCCTCGGCTGGGTCCGCTCCTGCTGCTGCTGGGCTTGGGTCCGCTGTGGCTGGGGACTCGGCTGGGGTGCGCTGGGGGGGGGGCCTGTGCCTGCCCGCGAGGGCGGGGCTGGGGCTTCTGTCGGGGCTGAGCCTGGGGGCTCGGCGTCTTTGGCCTCTGTGGAGGCCGCGCGTGCGGGGCCTGTGCCTGCCCGCGAGGGCGAGGCTGGGGCCCCTTTTGGGTGCGCTGCGGGCTCTGGGGAGCCTGCGGCGGCGGAGTGGTGTCACGCGCCAGGGGGACACGACGTCACCGCCACGGGTACGGTCGTCTGGTGTCGGCGGTGCGGGGCCTACGGGTCCGTCAGGGTGGGGAAGGCCTTCAGCTCCCCCTGCCCTGACCCCAAAGACTTGCCCAAGAGCAGGAGGTCAGTCCTCAGTGCTCTCCAGAGAGGCAAGCACCCCAAGACTGGGCAGTCCCTCACGGGGTGATTGAAAGTCTGGGGATTTACTGTTCCCTCTTAGAGTGGTGTCTGTGAGCAGACGCTGTCTCTTCAGCGCTTCCCTGCTTCCCTCCTCCTCTTCCTCATATTCCTCCTCACCATCCTCCTCCTCCTCCTCCTCCTCCTCCTCCTCCTCCTCCTCCTCCTCCTCCTCCTCGACCCGAGTGGAGTCGAGATAAATCGCGGCGGGAGTTGTTTCGTTATTTTTTTTGCCTCAGGGGGCCTTCGCCGGGCCCTGGGACTGTCAGGAGACGTCGCTCGGGATGAGAAAAGCTGCTCCCGGGGAAAATGTGTCGAGACGTCGGGGGTCGGCGTTCGAAAATATCACGGCGCCGCGACGGTCCGGGGTCGGAGCCAGCAGGCTCCGCCTGGTGGGCTTCCAAGCGAACAGTTGAGGCGGCCATGCGCAAGACGCGCGCGGGCGAGGCAGATCGGGGGAAACGCGTCAAATGATGTCAAATGCCTGCACGGGCAGACGAGTACACGCCAAGCGCGTGCCCAGGCAGCCTGGACGAGCCAAATGCGCGCCGTGAGGGCGGAGGGTTCCGTCCAGTGGGCCCCTCAGCTGGATGTCGTTCTCGCACCGCTGCTCTGGCGCTCTGAGCCCTTGATTCTCGCGGCTCGTTCCTTCGCCCCTCCCCTTCCCTTCCTCCCTCCCTGGCTCTGGACTGGTCCTGTCCAAAGCCCTCCCTCCTGGCTCCGCCCAGGTCCTCCGCCCCGACCCTCCCCACTTAGCCCCTCTCCCCTGGACCTGGTCCCAGTCCGCTCAATTTTGGTGGCTCGTTCGTCCGCCCTCCATGGCTCCCCTTCGGTCCCCCCTCCCGGCCCCCCCCCTGCCTCCGCCACGGCCCTGGCGCCCCTCTCTCCCACGGGCCGTCCCCTCTGCTCTCGTGGCCCGCGCGTCCGCCCCGGCTCTGCCCCCTGTCCTCCCCGCCCGCCGCCAGGACGCGGTGCACCGGCGCGCCGAGGCGGAGCTGCAGGGCTCCGCGCGGCGCGCCGAGGCGGAGCTGGAGGAGTCCAGGAGAGCCGCCGCGGAACTGCAGGACTCCGCGCAGCGCGCCGAGGCGGAGCTGGAGGAGTCCAGGAGAGCCGCCGCGGAGCTGCAGGGCTCCGCGCGGCGTGCCGAGGCGGAGCTGGAGGAGTCCAGGAGAGCCGCCGCGGAACTGCAGGGCTCCGCGCAGCGCGCCGAGGCGGAGCTGGAGGAGTCCAGGAGAGCTGCCGCGGAGCTGCAGGACTCCGCGCAGCGCGCCGAGGCGGAGCTGGAGGAGTCCAGGAGAGCTGCCGCGGAGCTGCAGGGCTCCGCGCAGCGCGCCGAGGCGGAGCTGGAGGAGTCCAGGAGAGCCGCCGCAGAGCTGCAGGAATCCACTCTGCGGGAGGGGGAGGAAGAGGAGGAGGAGGAGGAGGAGGAGGAGGAGGAGGAGGAGGAGGAAGAGGAGGAGGAGGAGGAGGTTGCGGAGGACGAGGAGTAGGAGGAGGAAAGGGAGGTGGAGGAGGAGGAGGGGGGGAGGGGGAGGAGGTAGAGGGGAGAGGGGGAGGAGGTGGAGGAGGAGGATGGGGAGGGGGAGGGGGAGGGGGAAAGGGAGGAGGAGGGGGGGGAGAACGGAGAGATCTTGCTGCGTGACACTCTGCCCGTTGCTGTCGACGGTGGCATATCTGCTTCCACGAGTTTGAGCTACCTCATCAGAGTGAAGGCGGGGGGAGGGGGTGAACCTGTCTTTGCCATGGATGATTCCACTGTTCCTTTACACCTTCAACCACCCACCCACCCCTTCACATCATCTCGGCCATGAACGACGACGTCAGGGACATCATCGAGATCTCCAGCGTCTCGCAGAACTTCCGGATCCCCAGGCTTGTTGCCCATTCAGAGGAATAGCCAACAAACTCGCACGGAGATGCGGCTTGGAGTACACACCAGCTGCAGCACATGGGACGGCACCTTACAGCCCGCAGCGCCACTACTACAAGCTCCAACGGTACCCGAATAAAAGTTACGACGACGAACCACGACATCGACGATGACGGCGAACGTACCAACATGACACCCTTCATCTCATACTAGTTGGACGGACGAATGATCGCGCGGCGGGCCATGACACCAGCAACTACCACACCAAACCCTCTCACAACTCATGAAGCAGTGCACCAACAACGATGCCCACACTGTGCGAAACATTTCGCGAGACAAGACACGCGGGTGAGGCATATCAAGCAAGGTCGATGCCCGGCGTACCCCATCGGCGTTGAGGCTCAAAGTGATCAAGCAGTTCCGTACCAAGCCCTTCCTGCGCTGGCTGCGCCAGTCGGGCAAGGCGATGTTCAAGCCGATCATCGAGGTCCAGCAGGCGCCGAGCAGCGGTCAGAAGAGAGCGGCAACGGACGCGGTCGGCGGGGGCGAGGACAAGGCCGCGGGCGACATCGCGGGCCCGCTCAGCAAAGCGTTCGCGAGCCTGGTGCTGCAGCACGAGGATTTGGCGAGGGGGAACCACCGAGACGACGACTTCGCGATGGCGTTCAAACCGCAGAACAAGCTGGAGACGGCGCTGGATCAGGCGCTGACGCACTACGACGACGAGGGCCGCAAAACCAAGGAAAAGTCCAAAGAAGAGGACTCCACCGACATGGGCAACCCGCTCGGGAAGAGGCCCGGCGCGCAGGCGAAGGCGGTGATCTTCCGCATCAGCGAGGCGGCGGTGAGCAAAAGAGAGCAGGTGATGGCGGCAGCGGAACAGGGCCTGAACCCACAGGAGGCCATGGAGGCGCTGGACGCGTTGATCTCAATGGGGGGCCGAGGCGCAGGACCCCGCGGCGAAGTTCGCGGCCACGCGTTGCTTCGGGGCCAAGACAGGCACGCAGAAGGACGAGGAGGACACCGAGGGCATGGAGGTCAGATGGATCTTCGCGATCAATCACTACCCGAAGTTCAGGGTGGCCCTGGCGGTACTCCGCGAGAACGGGGCGCTCGCAGCTGCGGGCATCCACCTGTGCTTCGACATCGCCGCGCGGTCGAAGGCCGCGAAGCTGGCGGAGACGCTGGCGGCCCGGGGCGGATCGAGCCAGTTGCGGCAGAAGGGGGGGGGGGGGGGCCCAGAGGAAGTGAGTGAGGTGAGCGGAGCTGTAGGAGTACTGCGAGAGCCGTGCCCTCCCCGTCTGTTTCCCCCATCCCGTCGCTCGAGCCCCCCCCCCGCGTCCCGCCCCAGGGCAGACGACGCCCTCAAAGTACTTCAGCGTTGGACCTCGGGCCCCCACCCAGTATTTTCTCGCACGGGTCGGGGGCCCCATCGCCCCAGAGGTCTGCTTCGGCCGCTTCGTGGGAGAAGCGCGCCTCCTTTCACCGGCTGGGGGGGGCCGCCCTGCAGCGCCGCGCCGCAGAGGCAGGGGTGCGCAGGCGCGGGGTCGAGGCGCTGCCGCCTCCTCCATCTCGCGCCTGCTTCCTCCCCCCCTGAGGGCAGCTCCCGTCTATTCGGTCGCCCCGCGGTTTATTGCGGTTGTTTTTAGTTGCCCCCGCGAAACATCCACGGGAATGGGAGTAGCGCCCAAGGGGAAGCCTGCGGAATCAGGCGGAAGCGACACAACGCGGAAGCAGGCGGGAGCTAACGAGTGCCTGTGAATCCCGAGCGCCACAGGTCACGATCGAGCAGGACTACAAGTCCCCCAAGCCGCGCGAGCTCCACTGGCGCCAGACCAGACTGGCTCGCTGCACCGAGCTCGCCTAGGTGTACGCGATCATGAACTGCGAGCGTATCGTCAAGGGCGACGCCTTCGAGATGGGCGCAGCGCACGCGCTGCTGGGAGAGATCGAGGAGCGCGCGGGCGTCCCCGAGACCGTTCTGGCGGTCGAGCCCTCGGCGGCCGTCGCCCGGGCTCGAATGGGCCAGGGCGAGGACGAACCCGCTGCCCAGCAGCCCGGGGAGCCGAAGCGCTGGGCCGAGGGAGTCGACAAGGCCGATCACTTCCTGATCGGCATGCACCCCGAGGCGCCCGCGCACTACACCTACCTCAGGGTCGGCAGTTGCCACGGTTGCCCCCGCCCTAAGGGGGCGAATCCTGGGGGCGCCCTGGGCAGAGGGGGCACTCGTAGCAACGCCCGCCATGGTCTCGAGGATCGGCGGGGCGCCGCGGCGCAGTGCCGCGACGCCCTCAAGCAGCCGCCCGAGAACGCCAAGCAGGCCTGAACGGCCACATGCGAACTCACACCTGCGCACCGCGATTTCCGAGGGGGGAGGCAGGGTTCACTTTGCTCGGGAACTGCCGAACGAAGTGGTGCCCCCTCTCCTCGTCAGAAATCGCAGCGGGTAGGATTCGCACGCGGCCTCCCAAGGCCGCTGCGAGGATCCTCCGCAAGCTCGGCGCCGTCGGCCCTGGCGAGACCTGCCCTGCGAGGAGCAGCGAGAGATGCCCCAGGCCCGCGCCTGGCCCTGCGGCCTGCGGGCGAGTCGCTGCGCGAGGTCCGAGGCGAGGGCCGCCGCGCGCCCGCGAGCACCAACGCGACGCGCGCCCGAAGCAACGAGCAGATCAACGAGCTCAGGGAGGCCAGCGACGACGACTTGGCCCAGGCCAAGGCCAAGAGAAAGGCCAAGTCCAAGCCCTTCAAGGACCCCGCGGCGGTCGAGCCGAAGCACCCCACCATGGGGGAGGCAAGCTCTTCCGCCCACCCCCCGCGCCAAGTGCCTCCCGCGCAAGGGCGGCTCCAAAGGGCGCCGAGCCTGCATGGGCGAGTGTTTGGAGGCCGCGCGCAATAGAGGCCTCTTGGCCAGCCAGGAGCGCCAAGGAGCTCCTCTTGCGCAGGCATGTTGTAGCCGCGCGCCTCGAGATCTCCCGGGTCAGTTTTGCGCCGAGATCTACAAGGTCAGTCTACACGAGCGCCCAGGATCATCGTCAGCGTCGTCATCATCACCATTGTTAACATCACCTCCCCCGGGGCAATCGTTGATTATCCCCGCCAGGCCCCCGAACTTCATTATCCCTGCAGGGGTTGTTATCGCGAGCGGTTGGTTACGAGGTGCCCCTCCCGCCCATGACCTTCAGGGGCGGAGCGACTGAGCGGATGGCGAGGGGGAAAAGGGGGGGGGGAGGAGGAAGAGGAGGAGGAGGAGGAGGAGAAGAGGAGGCGGATATGGCGGAAAAGGAGGAGGAGGAGGCGGAGGAGGATGAGGGGGAGGGCGAGACGGGCCCGGCCCCAGGACGCGCTGCTCCGCCGCGCCGAGGCGGAGTTGGAGGAGTCCAGGAGAGCCGCCACCGAGCTGCGGGGCGACGCGCGGCGCGCCGAGGCGGAGCTGGAGGAGTCCAGAAGAGCCGCCGCGGAGCTCAAGGAATCCTTTTTCCGCGGGAGTTGGAGGACAAGGGGGGGAGCAGGAGGAGGAGGAGGAGGAGGAGGAGGAGGAGGAGACGCAGGAGGTGCAGGAAACGCAGGAAGCGCAGGAGCAGGAGCAGGAACAGGAACAGGAGCAGGAGCAGGAACAGGAGCAGGAGCAGGAGCAGGAACAGGAGCATGAACAGGAGCAGGAGCAGAAGCAGGAGCAGGAGCAGGAACAAGAGCAGGAACATAAGCAGGAACAGGAGCAGGAGCAGGAACAGGAGCAGGAACAGGAGCAGAAACAGGAGCAGGAACAGGAACAGGAACAGGAGCAGGAGCAGGAGCAGGAGCAGGAACAGGAGCAGGAACAGGAGCAGGAACAGGACGAGGAGGAGGAGGAGGAGGAGGAGGACGAGGAGGAAGAGGCGGAAGAGGAGGAAGAAAGGGAGGAGGAGGAGGAGGATGAAGAGGAGGAGGAGGAGGATGAAGAGGAGGAGGGGGAGGAGGAGGAGGAAAAGGAGGAGGAGGAGGAGGAGGAGGAGGAGGCGGAAGGGGACGACGAGGAGGAGGAGGAAACGGAGGAAACGGAGGAAAAGGAAAAGGAGGAGGAGGAGGAGGAAAAGGAAAAGGAGGAGGAGGAGGAGGCGGCCGAGACCGAGGCGGAGGCGGAGGAGGCGGAGGAGGAGGAGGACGAGGAGGAGGAAGAGGAACCACAATAATAAGAATAAGACGACGAATAACAATCAGAAGGGGGAGGAAGCACAATACTAATATCAATAATAATAAGAAGAATAAGCAGCCGACAAATAATAATAGAAATAAGAAGAATACGATGACGAATAAGAATAACAACCATAATAATAATAGTACTATTAGTAATACTACCAATACCACTAATAATAATATTAATAATACTAATACTAATAATAATAATAATGCTCATACTACTAACCCTAATACTCAGAATACGAAACATCACAATAAGAAGAAGACTTTGAATAGTAAGAAGAGGATGAGGAGGAATAAGAAGACGAATAAGGAGAAGGAGGATACGGAACATGATAATAATCATGATACCAATCATAATACACACGCTTTTAATAATACTATTCATACGAATAAGAATGATATTAATACTGATACTAATAATACTAATAATTGTAACACTAATAATAATCATAATAACAATACCAATACTAATACTAATAATAATAATAATAATAATACTAATAATACGAATAACAATAATACTACTACTACTACTAATAATTGTACTAATAAGCATAGTAGTGATACTAATAAAAAGAGGAGGAGGCGGAGGAGGTGGAGGAACATAATAATAATACTAATAATAATACTACTAATAATACTACTAATAATAATAAGAAGAAGAAGAATAATCGTAAGAAAACACAAACATAATAAGCAGAAGCAACAACAGAAACATAACAAGAAGAAGAAGGAGGAGGAGGAGGAGGAGGAGGGGGAGGGGGAGGGGGAGGAGGAGGAGGAGAGGGGGGAGGGGGGGGGAGAAGGGCAGGAAAACGGAACCGCGGCGGACCCGCAGGAATCAGTTCCTGCGGGGGGAGGCGGAGAGAGGGGAGAGTAGCGGGAGAGGGGAGGGCTTTCGGCGGCGAGCGAGGGAGAGGGAGTTCGATATTCGAGGTTCGATGTTTTTCAAGGGTATCGTCGGTTCTCGGCAGTTGCCATGCCCCGGGATGTTTTCCAACGGCTGCGCCTCGCCGAGAGTGTTTCGGGGATGCCCGGATCGTCCCGAACGGCCACCGGAAACCCGAGTTATGTCCCGAAAACTGAATTCGGCGGCGCGCCCAGGGGGAGAAGTGAGAAGGAGAGGGCCTTCTGAGATGACGGCGGGGCTTCTCAGAAAGCCTTCTGAGAGAGTTGTTCCGTGTCTTCGGGGAAGGTTTCCAAGGAACTTCTCAGGGCGAGAGGTCTTGTTCACGCAAAAGTGCAACCGACACGCTGAAACAAGGAACAGTCTGGGTGCGGAAGGGGCTCGCTGTTCCTCATGTCCTTATGTGGCAGTTCCTGCCGCCCTCCTCGTGCACGCAGGCGCTGTTGGGACCGAAAGAAGTTTCGTTCCGTATATATCGCTCTTCATTGTAATGGCTTCCAGCCAATGCCGCCGATCCGGGGGGCTCCGGATTCGGTGATCTTCGCGGCTGTGTGGCCTCCTCCCTGCTCGATTCTTCCGGTCCTCTCTCTTCTCTTCGGGGGGCTGCCTGGAGCGGTCCCGGGGGGGGTCGGGGAGGGTTCCCGAGAGGAGGGTCCTGGAGGCGGTAGCGGCTAGATCTGAGGGGGGGTCCTGAGAACCTCCGAAACATTTTGGGGATGCGCAAAACAGTAAGAAAACGCCAGATAGGGGACTGTCCCCCACCCTCCATCCCCCCCTTGCTGGGGGGGTCCGGAAACGCAGAAAAAACAGAAAACGACAAATGGAAGACCGCCCCCCCCTCCCCCTTCTTTCCCCCGGCAGAGTTCCTGTCGCCCTGCTCGTGCACGCAGGCGCTGTCGGGACCGAAAAAGGTTTCTTTCTTTATGTTTCGTTCTTTATTTCAGCGGCCCGACTGGTCTTGACCTCTGCAGAGCTAAGCTGGGGGGGGGAGCAGACGTGTTCTCTTGCGGTGCCATGGGCGCCCGTCTCCAGGACGCGGAGCACCGTCGCGCCGAGGCGGAGCTGGAGGATTCCAGGGGAGCCGCCACGGAGCTGCGGGACTCCGCGCGGCGCGCCGAGGCGGAGCTGGAGGAGTCCAGGAGAGCCGCCGCGGAGCTGCAGGACTCCTCTCTGCGGGGGAGGAGAAGGAGGAGCCAGAGGGGGAGAAGGAGGAATGGGAATGGGAATGGGATCAATGACGTAGTCATATGGGGGGAGGAGGAGGAGGAGGAGGAGGAGGAGGAGGAGCACGGGGAGGAGGAGGTGGAGGAGGCGGAGAAGGAGGAGGAGGAGGAGGAGGAGGAGGAGGAAGAGGACGAGGAGGAGGAGGAGGAGGGGGAGGAGGATGATTATGCTGGATTATGCTAGCCTGATCTCCGCAGCTGCGAGGCACGCACCATGGCGACGTTGAAAGCTTCCCTTATCCCAGGCCGTCCCTGGGCGATAAAGTTCGGCTTTGGTCAAAACGACTTTCCCGTGGTGGGGTGTCGACCTTCCCACAGACGGCTCAAACGTCCAGCCATTGTTCGGGGGTTTCCTTCGACACAGCTCGACAGCAAACCAACCCATCTGTCCTGAGCGTACCTGGCACATCGGCGACAGAAGATCACACGGGGGAGGCATATTAGCCTGTGCCCCTGGGCGCGGGCTCGTTCGATCCTACCTCCGTCTCCCCCCAACCCAACACGGTGGGGCGGGGCGCCGGGAGGCGGAAGGTGGGGAGGCTCCACGGCCCCCCATTCACCCCCACCAGGCCGGGGTCCGGGGGGGGTGGGTGGGTTCGAGTCCCGCTCAACCGGACTCGAGCCCTCGGAGGTGTCAAAGAGCCCTCTGCCTAACACTCCTACGTAGGCTGCGAACTCAAGCACATCCGTAACGAGTTTGAATCGCTGTGTGTATGCAGCTCGGTGCCATTCAGGGTGCTCCTGCAGTCGAGCTCCTAGCTTGGCATACTGATCGGCGAATTTGTTTCCCTCCCACAGCTCGAGGCCCATCTCGTTTCGTTGGGCTCTCGTGGCATGGGCTTTTATTTTACTTTCTCGAAACTGACCCCTCGCGGCCCCAGACCACCGTTTTCAGCGATCAAGGCTGGGAGGAGGATGATGAGGAGGAGGAGGTGGAGGAGGAGGAGTGTTGGAGGGACCGGCAGGGGCGGGTAGCCCAAAGGGTGGACATACCGCATGTCCAGGGCTTCGATCGCCGTTTCGACGAAGTGTGATGTCCACTCCCTTTGCTGCTGCAGTTCCCGAAGGGCGGTGCGGGGGACGGGAAAACAGAGGAAGGCGGGGGGAGCAGCTCACACCCCCTGGGCGCCAAGCACAGGCCCCCATCGTCACGAGAGTATCGTAACGATCCCCCAGTTCCTTATAAGGCATTTGCTGCAATGGTTGCTTGCATTGTTCAGAAAGCTGGCACCGAGGCAGCGGCCGATTTGGTGGCCCGCAGGGTGTTCGACGCACCTTGTGGCGCAACCCATGGAATGTAGAAGGACACTGATGGCGCGAAACCTATGGCGTAACTCATAGAACGCAGACAGATCTGAAGGCACGTGTTGACGCATCGACCGATTTGGTGGCCCGCGAGGTGGGCTGTTCGGCGCAACATACCTATGGAATGCAGACAGATGGTTGATTTGTGATAGCACGCAAAGGGTCTGGCACAACCCATGGTGCAACGAAGCGAGAATACGTAGACAGACGTTGTGAAATATGATTTGTTAGCCTGTGGCGGGTCTGGCGCAATTTTCAGAGCGCAACAAGCAGGCGCGCAAGGTCTCAGCTCCTTCAGCACACGGTTCGAACCTTGAAAGTTGCCTTCCGCCTTGTTCTTGGAAGGCAGTTCGAGGATGCCCAGGAGGCCTTTCGACGCCGAGGAGTGTTCGGAAATTTGTCAGACGAGCGGAGTGACCTGCCACGATCCGAGGTCGAAGCGGACTGTTGGCAAAAGTGACGATTTGGAAGCCCACGGGGTACGTACCGCAACATGTGCCGTAAAATACGGGGAAGTCGCAATGTGGTTTCTACCCACGGAGTATGTGGCGCAACCTATGGCACTATCTGGGGAGCAGCCAGTGGCATGTAGTCGACACACATTTTGATTTGGCCCGCTGGGTGTGCGGTGCAGCGTATGGCGCTTCACCCATGCTGCAACCTACGGCGCAACTCATGACAGTAGACATCCTGACTTGGGAACTGGCAAATTCATAAGTCGCTCACGGCGTACCCGGCGCAGTACATGGCGCAAGCTATGGAATGTTCCTTGATGGGCGAGGGTTGCACGTTGTTCATATACGAGGGCGAGCTGATATGCGTCCCAGGGCGTTCTGGAACGCTATGAGAAGGCCGCGGGGCCCGTTCCATCCTCCAAAGCCGCCGGATCTCAGAGAATCTCGATGTATGATCACCCGAATTTGTCCTCGTTCTGGCTTCGTTGCAGTTTTCTTTCACATATCCAGTGCCGTTGCCGCGCAAGTCCGCCACAGCAGTCGGGCGGGCGCTTCGGGGAGGGAAGGGGACCTCCCTAGCGGATGGTCGCCATTACGTGGCCATGTTGGCTCCAGCCAGTTTGGATCAAACTCTTTGAAATCAACGTCAGTAATCTCAGGAGGTCCTGATAACCCCCCCAACAGTGGAAACAATAATTCGTTCGGCGACCTTAATGACGGACTGGGGGGCCCACCAATAGGGGAAAATAATGATTCACCCGCGGCACCCGCCACACAACAACGACGACGACGACAATGAAAAGATGAAAGAGGAGATTGTGAACAACTTTTTCGGCGAAATATGTGTCGATCTATATGGCAATCTTCTCACAAACGTGCTCAACATTCCTTTGTCGTACAAGCTGGTAGCCCAGGGAGCACTATTCCCTGGGAAATAGAAGCCCCTAACAGTTTCCAGCCCGCCCAACAAAAGAGGGAAACACACATTCCGCCGCGACGACGACGATGCTTACGACTACGAGTAATATGACGATTACGATTGCTACTACAAGCACGACTACGATTACGATTACAAGCGCGACTAGAATGATGATTACAAACATATCCACTGAGAAGATGCTCACAAATCTTGCCGCGAGCAAGGTCGCCCGCAATTCCCTTGGAGAACGAAGCCCCCAAACATAACCCAGCCCGCCCAACAAAACATGACAATGAATTCCCGCCGTGAAGACGCAAGTTGTAGTCGTAGTAGTAGTAGTAGTAGTAGTAGTAGTAGTAGTAGTAGTAGTAGTAGGAGTAGTAGGAGTAGTAGTAGTAGTAGTAGTAGTAGTAGTAGTAGCAGTAGCAGTAGTAGTAGTCGTCGTCGTCGTCTTCGTCGTCGTAGTCGTAGCCGTAAAAGTAGTAGTCGTCGTCGTAGTCGTAATCTCGGTCGTAGTGGTAAAAGTGAAAAGGGGAAGTAGAAGTATAATGATAGATCGTAGTATAAGTAGCAGCAGCAGAAGCAGTAGTACTAGTAGTTCTTGCATTCGCAGTAGCAGTTGTCGTAGCAGTAGGAGTAGTAGCCGTAGCCGTAGCCGTAGCCGTAGCCCTAGTAGTAGTAGTAGTAGTAGTAGTAGTAGTAGTAGTAGCAGTAGTAGTAGTAGTAGTAGTAGTAGTAGTAGTGGAAGTCGATTTAGTAGTAGAAGTAGTAGTATTAGTAGTAGTAGTTGTCGTCGTAGTCGTAGTCGTAGTAGCAGTAGCCGTAGTAGTAGCAGTAGTAGTAGTAGGGGTAGTAGTGGTAGTAGTAGTACTAGTAGTAGTAGTAGTAGTAGTAGTAGCAGTAGTAGTAATCGTAGTAGTAGTAGTAGTAGTAGTAGTAGTAGTAGTAGTCGTGGTTGCAGTAGAAGTAACAAGAGTACTAGCAGCAGCAGTAGTAGCAGCAGTAGTAGTAGCAGTAGTAGTGTTAGTAGTAGTAGTAGTAGTAGTAGTAGTAGTAGTAGTAGTAGCAGTTGCAGTAGTAGTATCAGTAGTAGTAGTAGTAGTAGTAGTAGTAGTAGTAGTAGCCGCAGTAGTAGTAGTAGTAATAATAGTAGCAGTAGTGGTAGTAGTACTAGTCGTCGTCGTAGTCGTAGTTGTAGTCGTAGGTAGTAGTATTACTAGAGGTAGTTGTAGTAGTATTATTCGTAGTAGTAGTAGTAGTAGTAGTCGTAGTAGTCGTAGTAGTAGTAGTAGTTGATGTAATCGTAGTAGTGGTCGCAGTAGTAGTAGTAGTAGTAGTAGTAGTAGTAGTAGTAGTAATAGTAGTAGTAGTAGTAGTACTCGTCGTAGTAATCGTAATCGTAGTAATAAGAGTAGCAGCAGCAGCAGCAGTAGTAGTAGTAGTAGAAGTAGCAGCAGTAGTGGTAGTAGTAGTAGTCGTAGTAGTCGTAGTCGTAGTCGTAGTCGTAGTCGTTGTAGTAATAATAGTAGTAGTAGTGGTTGTGGCCGTAGTAGTGCTTGCAGCCGAGTCGTAGGCGTAGTAGTATTAGTAGTAGTAGTAGTAGTAGTAGTAGCAGCAGTAGTAGTAGAAGTAGTAGTAGTCGTCGTCGTCGTCATTGTCGTCGTCGTCGTAGTGGCCGTCGTAGTCCGTGCAGTCGAGTCGTAGTCGGGGAAGTAGTAGTAGTAGTAGTAGTAGTAGTAGTAGTAGTAGTAGTAGTAGCAGTAGTAGTAGTAGTAGTCGTCGTCGTCGTAGTAGTAGTCGTAGTCGTAGTGACTGTTGTAGTAGTAGTCGTTGTAGTTGGCTCTGTAATTGTAGTGGTAGTAGTAGTCGTCGTTGTCGGTGTACAGATCGTCGTAGTTGCAATATATGTCGTAATAGTAGTAGTAGTAGTAGTAGTAGTAGTAGTAGTAGAACAAGAAGAAGAATAAGTGGTGGTAGTAGTAGTAGTAGTAGTCGTAGTAGTAGTCGTAGTAGTAGTAGTAGTAGTCGTAGTAGTAGTAGTAGTCGTAGTAGTAGTAGTAGTAGTAGTAGTAGTAGTAGTAGTAGTAGTAGTAGTAGTCAGTAGTAGTAGTCGTAGTAGTAGTAGTAGTAGTAGTATAGTAGTAGTAGTAGTAGTAGTAGTAGTAGTAAGTAGGGCTAAACGGGGATGGTGGCCGGGGCGGCGTGGGGGGGGGCGCGGGGGGGCGCGCGCCGGGCGGGCGGGGCGCGCGCGCGGCGGCG